GGGGGCGTACTTTGAGGGGAAACAATCAATCAGAAAAGCCCACACAAGGTAATTGCATAAAAATGCACATCCATTATCGCCACCAAGGTGAATACAAAAGAACTCTCGAAGTCAAAGATTCTTATATTGGGTAGAGAAAAAACCTAATCACATGCTACTGATTAAAGACCCACCTAAAACAAAGTGACATGAAGCTGTTGAAAGTAAAAAGATGGGCAAAAAATATTATTTCTGCGCAAGCAAAAATAGAAATGGCAATGTTAATCTCCAACCAGAAAAAGGAAGTCATTTATGTTGGAAAGAGATAAAAGTTCCAATGACTATCGAACATCATACAGTTCTGCTCATCGATAACATGGCATCTAACGAGGCAAAGCCAGCCAGCGCTGCATAAGGAACCAAACCCTCACTGGCAGCGGGAGAGTCTTCAACTCTTGTCTTTGGGGAATGAAATATCTATAAAAATCAACCGCACACTCAGTACTAAGGAAACCACAGTAACTTCCCTACGAGTAGACGTCGCTTGGCCCACATTTCTTACCATGATGCAATGAAGCAGGGATTTAATAACAAAAGACAAAGCAAATAAAGCAAATTACTTGAAATTTGAAATAATGAAAATAAATTAATTAAATGTTCAAATCAAGAAACTATAAAAGGTGCAAAATAAACCCAAGGAAAAGCTGTAGGAAACATGTACAAAATATAAAATTATACCCCAATCAACTAGAACAGTAGAATTAGAAATAAACTCTATGATATGAGCCAGATTGTTGAAAAAGAACAAATATTAAATAGGACCATTTTACATTGATAGGGTATATGCCCCACTGAGATGGTACAGTATGCATGAACCTTGCACTCTTAACAGCACAGCTTTGAAACATAAAGCAAGAAGAAATAGATAATGTCTTAATTCCTGTGGTAAACCTCTCAGAAACTAGCAGATTATATCTATAAAAGCCTAAGCAACCAAATGACCGAACAACTGTTCGACCAGTTGCTATGATGTGCACTGACCACCAGGGGGCAGACGCTCAATGCTATCCCTCCTGGGAGCTGAGTGTGTGACTGCTTCCCCCTAAGGACGTGAGCAGCAGGGCACAGAGTGTGGACTGCTGACCAGGAACTGGGTTAATATATGTGGGAAAGACAGATACCAAAAAGCTAACCTACAAAAGTACACCAGATGACTTTTTGTAAACCTCTAAGAAATAGACCAAAATCTGGATTTAGGCTATTTTTTTTAAAAGAAGAAGAGAGCTTTTGCTACAGTTTAACAAAACATACATAAAGCAGATTGAAACAGTGCAGCACTAACCCAGGGACAGACAGATCAGTGAGCAAATAATAAATATTTTAAAAACATACCCATGAATATACTGAGATTTCATTAGGATAAACATTCAAATAGGCTATATATATAAAAGCCTAAGCAACCAAATGACTCTCATATCAGTAGGACTCTACAAAAAATAGTGTCAACAGAGTCAGTCCTCCAGTTGGAAATAGATTCTCCACCTTACACCAAACATATCCCCACCTCACACCAGACATAAATAGAAATGTCAAATGGATTACAGAGTTACACATAAAAAATAAATTTATCAAAATGTTTAAAAAGTCAGGAAGATAGCTCTTGTCATCTGGAGATGGAGAAGGCCATCTGGAGTAAGGCACAAAACTCGCAAAGATTGATTCGACTCTGTAATAATTTTAAAAGTCTTTATGGAAAAATTACCCATCCATTCCACATATTTCAAAAATAAAATATTTGTAAAAATCAACAAAGCCTTAATATTCAGAGAAGATAAAGACCTTCCATCAGAAAAGATAAGCCACCCAATTTTTTAAATTGGCAAAGTCTGTGAAGAGAGGATTTAAATTTTTATTTTTTATTTTACTGTTGACAGTATTGAACAGAGGATTTACTAGAGAAAAGGTGCATGTGTTTTTCAATAAACACATGAGAAAACACTTTTTTTTTAAAAAGCACAATGCTATAACTTTGTACCATTGGATGGACACAGGTTTTGAAGATGAATGACACCCACTTTTAGCAAAAGGGGAAGCCCATCCTCATGTACTGTATGTGTATGTGTACACTGGCTCAGTTTGGGGAAGGGTGAATTTGATAGTATCCACCCAAAATGACTACCTTTGTGTTTCCTTAGACTGCCCCAGCACCCCATGCATGCCGGGGGATGTTCGTGGCTGCCCCAATGCTGACAATTCAGAAACAGCCTAACAATGAGTGCGGGCCCAGCCAGCGTGGCTCAGTGGCTGAGCATCGACCTATGAACCAGGAGGTCACAGTTCGATTCCCAGTCAGGGCACAGGCCCGGGTTGCGGGCTCGATCCCCAGTGTGGGGCGTGCAGGAGGCAGCTGGCCAATGATCCTCTCTCATCATTGATGTTTCTCTCTCTCTCTCCCTCTCCCTTCCTCTCTGAAGTCAACAAAAATATATTTTTAAAACAAAACAAAACAGGTGTGGGTTAAATAACCTCCACTACCTCCCACGGAACCCAGGCAGTGATCGCTCTAGGTACTGACATGGCTTTTAAGGCATCTATTTTTTTTTAATGTAGGCTATGAATAATACATATATTTAAAATCATAAAGATAAATTATTTAAAGATGCTACTGATGATTACTTCTGGGTAAGGGAGCAGCACTGTGGTGGGGTAGATGAGAGGGGGAATCTTTACATGTATTTCTGAATTTTTAAAGTAAATCACATATTCAGCTATTATATTCGTATTCAGCTATTATAGTTTTTAATGTAAAGAAAAATGTAGCCATGAACACGTAATACTTTTGTAATTAGTATGTTAAAATGCCATTTAAAAAAGTAAAAGCTTCCCAGCCGGCATGGCTCAGTGATTGAGTGTCAAACCAGGAGGTCAGGGTTCAATTCCCGGTCAGGGCACATGCCCAGATTGCAGGCTCGATCCCCAGTGTGGGGTGTGCAGGAGGCAGTTGATCCATGATTCTCTCTCATCATTGATGTTTCTAGCTCTCTCTTCCTTTCTCTTCCTCTCTGAAATCAATAAAAATATATTGTCTTTAGAAAAGTAAAAGCTGACTTGGAGCATTGTATGTAGGACCTTCCTATTGTCAGCCTACGGGGAGTGCTCCCATACAGCATGCCCACTTCACAGATGAGAAAACTGAGGCCCCGAGCCCTTTCCCTGTGCCCCAGCACTAGTGATATAGCAAAAAACATCAGCCCACCTGGTAGAATTAATTCCAGGAGACCCTGCCCTCCCACCCACCCACCCACCCCTAACAACCAGGGCCAC